TCAGGCAGAAGGACTTTGATATACTTAAAGAAGTTAGCATGGACAGAGAGGAGATTCTAAGTAGGCTGGCAGGCTTCAAGGTAAATAAATCTCCAAGGCTGGATGAAACGTATCCTAGGCTGTTGAGTGAGGCAAGGGAAAAATAACAGGAATGCTGGCAACGATCTTCAATTCCTCTCTGGACACAGGAGAGAGGTCAGAGGACTGGAGGACAGAATTACTCAGCTAGCGTTATTCAGAAGAAAGTAAGGGATAAACCAGGAATTTACAGGCCAGTCAGTCTAACCTTGGTGGTGGGAAAACTATTGGAGGCAATTTTGATGGACAGAATTCATCGGTCTTTGTAGAGGCAGAGATTAATCACAAACAGTCAGCATGGTTTTGTTACAGGGAGGTCATACCTGACCGAGATGATCGAATTTTTCAAAGCAGGTGACCATGTACATGAAGGCACAGTCTACTTGGACTTCAGTAAGGCATCTGTAAAGATCACACATGGGAGACTGATTGGGAAGACAAGAGCCTATGGGATCCAAGGAAACCTGGCAAACTGGATCCACGATTGAACAAGTGGCAAGATGATGGACATGAGGAGTTTTTGTGAATGGAAGTCACTGTCTACTTGGGTTTCACAGGGATCGGTTTTGGAGCCCTTGCTGTTTGCAGTATATATAAACGATTTAGGCTTGAAATGTAGAAGAGTTGAGTTGTAAGTTCATGAATGATACAAAAATAGTACTTTAAATAGTGAGAATGACTGCAGATTACAGGAGAATATAGATGAGCTGGTAAAGACTTTAAAAGTTCTTCTAAACCCTTCAGACTATGATGACCACAGTTAATGTTGGGGAATTTAAAATCCCCTGCAATCACAACCTGATCACGTTTACAGTTCCCTGAAATTTGCCTCCTGACCAGCTCTTCTACTTCTACCCATATAGGTTTATTTCAGGAGTTTTCTAAGATGTCATCTCTTCTTTATTGGTGCAATAAATTCACTGAATGTAATTCCTTCTCTTTTGCCGCCTTCGCTGTCTCGCATGAAGATTCTGTATCCGATACTGTCTCTCTCAACCGTGGCAAATGGAATTCAATCCAGATAATTGTGAAGGAATACACTTGTGTAGGAAAAACAAGGCAAGTGAACATATGATGATTGCTAAAACTCTGGGAAGCACTGAGGATTGAAGGGACCTCAATGTGCACGTTCTTAAAATAGCAGGACAGTAGATGAAGTAGGCATGAGATACTTGCCTTTATTAGCCAAGGCATAAAAGCAGGTTGTGGGAACGGTATGTAGCCACAACTACAGTAGCATGTGCAGTTCTGAATTCATGATTTTTTTTTTTTGGGGGGGGGGGGGGGGGGGGGGGGGGGGAGGGGGGCGAGGTTTCATTGCGCTGGAGAAGACAGAGGAGACTGAAGGGGAATATCTCAGATCAAGGCAGATGAGTTGATGATACAAATTAAAACATGAGGGCATGATGACATTGCTGTCACAGAGACGTGGTTGAGAGAGAGACGGTATCGGATACAGAATCTTCATGTGAGACGGCGAAGGCGGCAAACGAGAAGGAATTACATTCAGGGAATTTATTGCACCAATAAAGAAGAGATGACATCTTAGAAAACCCTTGAAATAATCCTATAATGGGTAGAAGTAGAAGAGCTGGTCAGGAGACAAATTTCAGGGAAGTGTAAACATGATAAGGTTGTGATTGCAGGGGATTTCAAATTCCCCAACATTAACTGTGGTCATCATAGTCTGAAGGGTTTAGAAGAACTTTTAAAACAGATACTAGACAGCTTTTTAAGCCAGTATGTAGAAGTCCCAAAAAGGACAGGGGAGGTCCTGGACTTTACATAACAAAGATGGACAAGTAGGTAAAGTATTGGTGGGGAAGCATTTTGTAGATAGTTATCAGAACTCTTTTCTAAAAGATTCAAGGTTGTCATGGAAAGGGGCAAGAATGGGCTTCAAATCAAAGTTCTAAATTGGTTGATTTAGTAAGATCAGAAGTGATTTGGCTAGAGGGAGCAGGGAGCAGATACTTTCACGTAAATGTGCAAGAGGGAATTTTAATGGGGAGATATGAAACGCAATAACAGGAACATGAATTGATATAGCCAGGTAGAATAAAAGGAAAATGCTTAGTTGTTTTACAGATACCTTAACGGTTCAAGGGTAAGGGGGAAAGAGTAAGGCCCATATAGGACTGCAGTGAAAACTGTGTATGGAACTACAGGATGAAGGCCTTTTTTCTGGGATGGTCCTAAATGAATACCTTGTGTCAGTGTTCACTAGTGAGAGACGATTCAGGGATAGAATTTAAAGAAATTAGCATAGAGAGAGGAGGTTTTGAGCAGTCTGAGGGACAGAATTAATTTACATTGGAGAGGCTGGTATTAATCAAGAATAGTCAACATGCATTTTCAAGGAGAGTCTACGCCTGACCGACTTGATTCAATTTTTTTTGATGAGGTGTGTGTCAATAGGGCAATGCTTTTGATGTAGTCTCTTGACGTCAGCAAAGCTTTTGATAAGGTCCCACATGGGAGACTGATAGCAAAGGTAAGAGCCCATGGAATCCATTGAAATTTAGCAAATTTAATCCACTGTCAGCTGAGTGGCAGAAATCAGAGGGTAAGGCGAGGGGTGTTTTTGGACTGACTGGAAGTCTGCGTCCAATGAGGACCCACAGTAGTCAGTGTTGAGCCCTTGCTGTTTATAGTTTATATAACTGATTTAGACTTGAATGTAGGACGGTTAATCAGTTAGTTCGCAGATGATACAAATGTAATGGGTAGTAAATAGTTAGGAGGGTATCCTTAACTTACAGGAGGATATATAGAGGCTGGTCAGATGGGTTGATCAGTTGTTAATAGAATTCAATCTGGATCAGTAAGAAGTGACGTATTTGGACAGGGGAATTGGTCATTGCATTTGGCTGTTAACCAAAAGGTTGATGTTTTGTAGATCAGCTAGTGAGGGAAGCCTATTCCTTTGTTTACATCAGTGTACTATATGACACAGACTTGGTTTTGTTTGCAAGACAATTTTGACTAATGTTGCTTGCTCCACAGTTAGACCTCAAAAGACATTTTCTAATGCATAGTGGCACAGTGGCTAGCACTATTGCCTCACGGCGCCAGGGACCCAGGTTAGATTCCAGCCTCGGGCGACTGTCTGTGTGGAGTTTGCACATTCTCCCCGTATCTGCGTGGGTTTCCTCCAGGTGTTCTGGTTTCCTCCCACAGTCCAAAGATGTACAGGGTAGGTGGATTGGCCATGCTAAATTGCCCATAGTGCCCAGGGACGTTTAGGTTAGATGGATTAGACATGGGGAAATCAGGGGTAGGGGAATGGATCGGGGTGGGATGCTCTTCGGAGAGGCGGTGTGCACTTGTTAGGCCAAATGGCCTGTTCCCACACTGTAGGGACTATGTATAAATTTATGATGGGAATAGATCAGGCAGACGGAAAGAAACTTTTCCTTTTGGTGAAGGGATTAATGACCAGATTTAAGATAAGGTGCAGGAGGTTTAAAAGGGATGCAAGGACATTTTGTTTTAAAACACTGAAGATTGTTGGAATCTGGAACTGACTGCCAGTAAGGGTAGTAGAGGCAGGAATCCTCATTAATTTAACTATTTAGATGTGCACTTGTGATGCCAAGGTTATGGGTCAAGTGCTAGAAAATGAGACTAGAATATTTAGATAGTTGTTTCTGACCAGCACAGATTCTATGGGAGAGGGCATTTTTCTGTCTTGTAGACCTCTGATTCTAACTAACTATTGTGCTTTACATTCAATGGCATTATCAACTGCTGAATCACCCCGTTCTCAACATCCTAGAGGTTACCATGACCAGAAACTGAACTGGAATATCATTTATATATAGTAGCTTTAGATCAGATCAGAGACTAGGAATTTTGTGATTATGAATTTACCACCCGATTCTTCAAAGACTTATCCACAAGGCACAAGTCAGGAGTGTGATACAATACTCTCCTCTTTACTGGATGGGCACAGATCTAACACTACAAGAAGCTCAACACAATCCAGGACAAAGGCCCACTTGAATGACAGCCCATCTACCACTTTCAGCCTTCAATTCTTTCACCACTAATGCACAGTGGCACCAGTGTGTACCATCTACATGACGCAGTAACCTACAAAGGTTTGGAAGGTGTTGTCAAAAGGAGCTATAACCTCTATCACCTAGAAAAATAAGTGCAGATGCATAGTAACACCACCACCTGCAATTTCCTCTCCAGGTCTCTCACTATTTGGATTTGGAAATAGATCAGCATTCCTTCAATGTCATTGGGTTAAGATCCTAGAACTCCCTTCCTGGCAGCATTGTAGAAACATCCACTTCAAGGACTACAACGATTCGAGACTGTGGCTCACCGCCACCTCTTCTAGGGCAATTAGGGATGGGCAATAAATGCTGGTCTAATCCAACAAGGTTGACACCCCTCAGCAAACAATAAAATTCCAACTTTCTGTTCATCCAAACCCTGCAACAAGTTTCTATCCAAGTCTGAACAATGTAGATATAGCAACTAACCATGGAAATTACCTCCGGGTTTTTCAATATTTAATCATTCTATAATCTAAGAAACAATCAAATAACCAAAATTCTATTCAACTCCATTTACAATTAAAACAATTCACGAGTAGTATCAACTGCAAGATGCTTAGGATAACTGCTAATGAAATCTTCTATAAACTTACGGTCCTCTTAACAGAGTATTTTGCGTAATTAATGTTTGCAAAATGATTAAACATTAAATAATGTATTACATCATGCAGTACTAATATACTTTTAAATGTTGTTGAGTTCTCAAATCTTGAACCTGAGCTATGCAGAACTAGCATAAGCACACAGTCATTTCACCACCTTGGATCAAGCAGTGAGAGCATTGTTAATACAAATTATGAACGCAAAAAAAAAAATTTACATCATCAAATGCAGCATAAACTGTGTTTTCACCTTTGGAAAGAAGTTTCCGAAATTTCTGCGTAGCAGCCAGCTGCTGTTCTGAATTGTTTGAGAAAATCATCTGTACCATATCCGATGTGATTACTCCAGTCTGCACATGAATAAGGAAGACAGGATCAGAATTGTTAATAAATATCATTCAGTATTAGTCAAGGTTATTCCCAAATATGAACTGCATTGCGTTCTACTTAAACTAGTCTTAAATTTTGTTTCTGGTTTACAAATCACCTCGATACAAGTTTGATATTTTAATCTACCACATTTGGAAGACATAAATTTGGTTTGAGGACATCTACCATCTTCATTTATCCAAATGGATTACTTTTGAGATGCAGCCAATTATTATCTAGCAAATTAGGGAAAAAATTTCTAAGGTCCAAAAGCAAGCAAGATAAATGACAAATTAATCTTCTTCTAGATGTGGGAACTTTTGATCTTTTCAAAAGAATACTATTGGATTGTTAATATCCTTTATTGATGAGAAGTCTCAGTTGACAGGTTTTCATTTTACAGAATGTGCTCACTAAAAAGCTTACAGCTTTGAGTTTAGTTTCATTTTAAATGGTGCGAATGGTAACGCTTATGCCCATACCCACCCAAAATAGACACCTCCAAAAACTCGGGCCTCCTACTACCACACAACTTAGAGGTATTTGAACTCCAGATCTTCAGATAGTAGGATCATTATCAGAACTAGGATGAGTTACAGAATCTTTGTAGAACATTCACCAGTTACATAGTAACCCAAAGAACACAAGAACTGGGAGCAGGAGTGGGTAATTCAGGCCCTTGAGTCTCTCTGCCATTTAATATGTTCATAGCTGATCTCATCTCAGCATCAACCCCACTTCCTTGCCTGCTCTCCATAATGCTTCAATCTGTTACTAATTAAAAATTTGTCTGTATCTCCTCTTTCAATGTATCCAATACCCCAACAGCCTCCATACTTGGGGTAATGAATTCCACAGATTCACATCCCTTTGGAGAGAATTAATATCTCATCTGTTCTAAATCTGCTACTCCTAAATGTTCTGGTAAATAATAGCAGTAAAGGGAGGAGTGCTTATTTACTGCAGTGTAGAATTCTCGACAGAACCCCAAAAGAAAGAGAACTCCAGCAATGAACGCAAAGTAGTGCTGGAGACAGATTTCAGAGCATTTCAAATACACATGGGCTCTTTCAGCAGAGTGAAAAATAAAATGGAAGATTCGTGTCTTTACTTGAAGGAAAGATCGGTGGAAAACTAAGATTAATTTTCCATCCTAAGTTAAATATTTCGGTGGGTCCCTAAATGCTGGGAATGAGAAATGAACGAAGTTTGGGTCAAATTTCATGTTTCATACCACTGTCACCAGTCACCGTTTTAGGATCGAGTATGTTAATAGCTGTAAAAATAGACAAAAAACTGTGGATGCTGGTGATTTTAAACAAAAAATAGAAGTTACTGGAGAAACTCGGCACATCCAGCAGCATCTGCAGACAAAACCTCTCCCTCTGGACTCCATCTCCACCTATTGCTCATCTTTCTCTCTTCCCTTCCACCTTCTCCACACTCCAGCATAAAATACTACATTTCTAGCTGCTATCCATTCTGATGAAGAGTCGCCAGGCTTGAAAAACCTTTCTCCCCACAGATGCTGCCAGACCTGCTGGGTTTCTCTAGCAATTTGTTTTTGTGTTACAAATAGCTGCAATGTCTGTAGCCACTATCAGTATTCCCAAAGAACAAAACATGTACACTCATTTGCCCTAATGGATTTTGCCTTTATGCCTGGGAGGTGAATAGGTGGCCATTTTTGCACCCCTTGAGTAAATCATGAGGCAAATTAATTAGCATTGTGTATTTCAAAATTAATGAAAACCTGAAATGGAAATAGTTATGGACTTTAACATTCATGAATGCAGCAGCATGAGCTACAATGAAACAAACTCAGACTTCCCATATTATAATACAAGGAACAGATTATTTGGCCCAATCATGCGGGCTAAAGCATACAACTCCAAAAAGGTTAAGTCCTTACATTCATTTGTAGTGTGCTCACAAGAGGAGGCTGGCTGCAAATCAATATGCAGATATATGTAAACACTGATAGCTAAAAAGATCACTACAAACCTTTCAGCAATTAACATACACCCAAGTTCTAGGAAAGCAGTTCCAAATTTTTCAAAAAGAATTCCATATGATTCTACTCCTAAAAGTGCACACAATTTTGAAAGAAACTGAAACTGTCAAATTGTGCTTGAAAGAAAAAGTGTTCAGACAGTTTCTTTTAATGACCTTGCATTTATAGCCTGTAGATCAGCTATCTCAAAATTAGTTTTCAAAATCAGCTGTAGGGCAGTATGAGTGATTTAAATTATTCACCAAGCTATCTTCATAGATTCCTCAGCATATTACAACACCTACTGTTGCAAAGTTGGGTACAGTTCTTGAATTAGAAGGCAGAATGTTAGAATTTGTTTGTAAAAATGATGGGATGGGAGAATGTGTAGGCCCTTTAAGAGGTGATGTGCTTTTCTAAGCTTGGAGATATAAAAACATATGTCTGCAAGCAGCTGTGGATGCACAGACTGTTCGGAAATTGAAACATGCGTATCAACTGGCTGAGCGGTTGGCAACCTAGGTTTATTTTGACGTTAAGGCAACAAGCTTGAATATCAGTCAATTAATTTAAACTAGACACTGCGAGACTAAAGCCAACTGAATTTAAATCTGATGGTGTTGACAACCTACGACCAATCCTATAATAAGAAAATTGACAGGTCATCAAGGGTATAAAGAGGAGGGTTTTTGAAAATTGGTGAGCACGTGAATCATCATCGGAAGAATAAAACTCTGACTCTCTCAGAAATCTTTAAGCTCTCTGATTAGCACTGCCTAAAAAAAGGTACCACGGCACTCTTAGCTAATAATCCTGATACCAAGGATTCGAAGAAGAAAGAATTCCTGAAGAATAGCAGAAATGGCATAGAGCATTTTGGAAAATGCATTTTGACTGTAGACTCTCAAAACTAAGTTTTAATTTATTTTTGTTATTACTTTGGTTTACATAAATGGGACTTATATTTGGAACTGCATGCCATTAGAATTGTGTTTGGGAATAGTTAGTAGTTAAGGGGGAATTGTTTGGTTTGTTAGTAGGTCTGTTAATTTGTTCACAGTTAGAGTTAGATAAATTATTATTTGTTGCTTACAGAGTGAGTATCAGGAAGTTCATTTCATTTAACCATCCCCTCTGTAACAGATCTGGAGCTCGAGTCTGGGAACTGGCTGGTTCGTGTATGGGATATGGATTTGAGGTACGAAAGGTCCCAACAGATTTAAACAGACTTGGGCGTTAGTGTCCTAGATCTTTAAATAAAACTTAGGTGAGAAGTGGAAAATCTGTTTTATTTAACCAACCACGAGTAACCAAAATTAACTCAAAAATGGGGGAAATGGCTCTTCATGTAGCTAAAATAGTTCTGGGGTTTGAGGATGCTTCCCAAATTTGCCAAGAAAGAACAAAGAAGGATATACTTTTAGACTTAGCAGACAGGCTAATTTTGAGTTTAACTAGGGATAAGAGGAAAGTTGAAATTGTAATGTTAGCCAAGCATTTAGGTAAACCAGAGAAACAGTCAAGTGCAGTGGAGTTAGAAAAAAATTAAATTGCAAGTGAGAGAACTAAGAATTGGCATTAGAGGATGAAAAGAAGGAGAGAGAGTTTGAATTATAATTAAAGTAGAAGAGAAAGAAGATTCTGAGCTGAGAGAGAAGAAAGGGGAAAAATGTTCAAGTTGGAAAAGATGAAGTTGGAACTTAAAACAAAAATACTACAAATGACAGAGGTAAAAGTTCAAGATAGAAGTGATGACGAACAAACTCATCGTAGCCAACAGCCTGGTTGGGATATATACAAATATGCCCAAACATTACTGAGATTCGATATTAAAAAAAGCCTTTTTACATTTCCTTCAAGAAATTGGCTAAAAACAGATGAACTGGCCAGAGGATATATGGGTAATATTCATTCAGACCAAGTTGGTAGGCAGGGCTAGGTGAAGTGTTTGCAGCACTGTCAGATGTGGTGTCAAGAGAATATGAAGTAGAAGAACAGGCTACTTTGAGTGCCTAGGAATTGGTACCAAAAGCATACAGACCATGGTTCAGAAATATAAGGAAGGAACCAGGTCAGACTTCTGTTGAGTTTGAAAGAATTAAACATAGCAACTTCGATAGATGAGTGAGAGCATTAAAGATGGAAAAGACATACAAGAATCTTAGAGATTATTTTGCTGGAGTTCAAAAACTCACTTCCAGGAGATGATAAGAACTCATGTTGAAGAACAGCAAATTTACCAAAGAGGAGCTGCAGAGATGGCAAATGAATACACATTAGGGCCCAAGTCAAAATCCAGCTTCCCATAGCAACTGCATTCCGTGAGGGATAGAAATTGGGAAAAAAGGGAGATCCTTCAATGAAAAGCAAAAAAGTAGACCACACTAGGAACAGTTTACCACATGAGAAAAGAAACACAAGAAGGTGAAAAAAAAGTGGTGATAAAGCCTCAGGTGTTTCCACTGTAATAGAGGAGGACACGCAGTCACAATGCTGGTGGACTAACAGAGGCACTGGGAAAAAGGATATGGTATAAGAGGCTAAACCAGTGGGATTAGTTGAGATAGTGAAGGAAATCCCAAGAAAAGTCAAGGCGCTGCAGGAGAGCTCACAGTCTAGTCACGGGTTGGATAGCAAGAGCGTGCCCAATCTCTTCAAAGACTTCACCTCGATGTGTAAGGTTTACTCAGGAAGAACAGGAGGAGAAGGTAAAGAAGTTAAAATATTTGAGATACTATTAGAGACTGACCAGCACCCGTAAGAGATGAATGTATTTTCACTCCTTCTGAAATGTTAGAATGATAATCTGTGGAATAAATGGACAGAGATTTAGCATTCCCCGGTGTAAGATAAGGCTAGAATGTCCAATTAAGATTAGGGAAGTGACAGTGGGAGTGATTGAAGAATTGTCTATTCCAGGAATACAGTTTGTTCTTGGAAACGACCGAGGTGGGACTGATGCCACTTGTAGTGGCAAAGCAGAAGGAAAACCAGGAAACTGAGGAGTTAACAGGAAAATACCCAGGAATTTTTCCGCCAATCATTGGTTTTCCTCTCTTGCTTTAACCCAAGAGAAAGTCGAAAGACTTGAGGTCCAGTTAGCTGACATCCTGTTTGATGAAGTAGTAAAGAGGAAAAACGAAAACAGAGAGGTGTTTAGTTCTGAAAGCATAATGGAGTTACAACAAAATGATGAGACAATAAAAAAAATCATCATAAGCTTTATTCGGAAGAAGAATCAGAACATATTCCCAAATGTTATTACCTTAAGGATAGAATCCGAAGACGGAAATGGAGACCTCAGCTAACTAGTGCAGAGGAGAAATGGGCGGGCGTTCACCAGGTTATGTTGCCGGTAGCATACAGCCAGGAAATATTGCGGGTAGCACACGAATTACCTGTAGGCGGTCATCTGGGAGTGAGGAAGACTCAGGCTAAGAAGCATTTCTATTGGCCTGGATTACACAAAGATGTGGTTGAATTTTGCCATTCCTGTCATGTGTGTCAGATGATAGGAAAGCCATGGGCAGTCATAAAACAAGCACCTTTAATGCCAATTCCCACATTTAAAGAAACCTTTCATGTAGGTTATGATTGTGTAGGTCCCCTCCTTAAAACCGAAAGTGGGAACCAGTATTTGCTAACCGTAATGGGTGTGTCTACCAGATTTCCAGAGGCAATTCCATTATGGAATCTCAAGGCAAAAAACGGTTGTGGAAGAGTTGCTTGTTTTCCTTACCCATAATGGACAACATTTTTTTAAAAAAAACTTAGGGAGATTCAAATCAGATCAAAAGGTCCAATTTTACTGCCAAATTATTTGAGGTGGTCACGGATAGTTTTGGCATCAAACACTTTAAATCAAGCACATACCATCCTAAATCCCAGCAAGTATTGGAGAGGTGGTATCAGACCCTAAAGACTATGCTGAGGTTGTATCGTCAAGATTACCCAAATGACTGGGATAAAGGTATCCTATTTATATTGTTTGCTATTAGAAATTCTCCAAATGAATCAACTCAGTTCACTATTTGATTTGATATTCAGACATGAAGTAAGGGGGCCTTTAAAATTCATGAAAAGTTGATAGGTCCAAAGTCAGAGATCTCAGGTTACATATCTGAGGTGACAGACAGATTAAAGAGTAGGTGAATTAGCTAGACAACATTCAAACGTGGCACAGCATCTAGTGAAGCAAGAAGCAGATAAGAAAACTAAAGTTTGTATGGTTGCCTGTGGGGATAAAGTATTGGTGCTGTTATCAGTGGTAGGAGATCCCTTCAAAGCAAGGTTTAGTGGTCCCTATCAGATTGAGAAGTCAAGTCAGGTGAACTATCTGGTAAAGATACCAGACAAAAAAAAAAATTGCGTTTGTCATGTGAATATGCTGAAATCTTACTATGACAGGGAAAGGGAACCGAAGAAACAGGCATTAGTTACTGCCACCCAGAGTGAGGAATCAAATCGAGATAATTTGGATTTTTATGTGTCTCATAATAAATTAAATAATAAAGGAAGTCCTGAAAGAATGGGATAGGGTAGTAAGCTGTCTCAAGAACTGAACTGAATTTCAAAGACCTTTTGAAGCACCACAGGGACATACGTAGAAATAGAATGGGGAGGACCAATACTATTGTACACGTATGGAATGCTGTTCCAATATAACACTCCTTCAGGATTAATCCTCTCAAAGCAGCTCAGGTACAGAAGTGGAAGCGATGCTCACTGAGGTCTTCTTGGAGCAGAGTCAAAAAGTGAATGAAGTTCACCGATCACGTTGGTTCCCAAACCTGATGGCACGCAACAATTCTGCATGGATTACTGAAAGGTCAATGCAGTGACTAAAATCAGACTCATACCCAATTCCGAGACTGGTAGACGGAGTGGGAAAAATTTGACAAGCCACTTACATCACAAAATAGGACTTACTTCATGGTTACTGGCAAGTACATTTGTTAGTGACAGTGAAACAAGTTTCTGCGTTTGTAACCCCAAATAGGCTGTATCCATTTAAAGTAATACTCTTTGGAATGAAGAATGTATCAGCCACATTTCAAAGACTCATGAACGGAGTTGTGGCAGGAATAACTAATTGTGCCATTTATATAGATGACTTGGTGGTGATCTTTAGCCATTCGTGGAGAGACCACATGGTGCATTCAGCAGAGCTCTTTGAAAGACTACAGGAGGTAAACTGGTCATAAATTTGGCAAAAACTGAATTCGTGAAGGCAGAAGCGATGTTCTTAGGACAACATCAGACATGGAAGGCTGACACCAAGGAACATGAAAACGAAGGCCATCAAGCCATTTCCAAGACCATCCTCAAAGAAGGAAGCGCAACACTGTTTGGGACTGAGCGGATTCTATTGGAAATTTGTACCAAACTTTAGTGTGGTGGCGCCACTGAGATTTGCTGAAGAAAAGCATGCAATTTTGGTGGACACAACAATACCAGGAGATATTTGAGAATTTAAAAGCAGTATTAACCACTGCACCAGTCTTCTTGCCAAATTTCTTGAAACCCTTTAAAGTCACTATCCACACAAGCGATGTAGGAGTTGGAGCTGGGTTGTTACAAGAGGACAACTGTAGAATTGAAAAGCCAGCTATTTTTCAAAGAAACTGAATACCCACTAGATAAAACAATCGTTGAAAAGGAGTTATTTAGTTTAGTACTGGCCTTACGACCTTTTAATGCTTATGTTGCAGACAATATATCGGAGACAGTTACGTATACTGATCACAGCCCTTTGACGTTTTTGCAAAGATTTAAAGACAAGAACACCAGACTATTTCATTGCAGTCTTATGTTATAAAAGATTTAATTTACAGATTTTCGTGACCTTCAACGTGAATGTTATTGTAGGTGAGATTAAAAGAAAAATGTATACAAGATAGAAATGGTAGTGTTTAACGTTTATAGAATCAGTATGAAATGCAATAATCTAAAATTACACATCATGGATTTAGTAATAATGCCATTGAAATTTAAAAAAAAAAAAATGAAGCCATCTTGTCATAATGATGTCAAAGTTACAATTTATTTTTCTTATTACTTTGGTTTATTTAAGTTGGACTTATGTTTGTTGGAACAGCACACCATTAGAATTTTGTTCCATTCGGGAATAGTTAGTAGTTAAAGGGGGATTGCTTGGTTTGTTAGTAGATCTGTTAATTTGTCCACTGTTAGAGTTAGATAAATAAGTTGTTATTTGTTGCTTATAAAGTATCAGGGAGTTCATTTCATTTAACCATCCCCTCTGTAAAACTACCTCAGTAACTTGCATCAGTAAATAAAGTTGCTGGAGGAAGGTGAAACTACGTTTTAATTTATGCTAATCATAATTTCTGCACTACTTCCTTAGTAAATTTGCAAGCTGTGACAGTTTGTCTTTAGGCGGGATGGAGCATGTTACAGTTTTCATGACATGTTACTTACCAAAGCCATATCCATGTTTACTTGTGACTCATGGAATCCACTGTCACTCATTACCTCATCTTCTTCCTCTTCCTGCTCCGTGTGTGTGACATTTCTACGTTTGAATAGCTAGAAGGAACAGGAAACAAACATTAAACTAAACAACTGGATAGCAGAAAGGATGGAAAATCAATTTATAGTCATAGAAGTTGAGATACCATGAAACGTTTTAGCATTTTGAACAAATGTAATCAGATACATAAAATGTACAGAACAGCAAATATTGATAAAGAACTACAGATCAAGTAAGTTAGGACGTTTACAATTTTAGGAAACTATATTCAAAGTATTTGTAATAGAATGAAAGAGCGAGTAGCCATTTGTCCTTTCAAGCCTGGTCTACTTCATTTTCTTGCACTATTCCCCATATGAAACTTTAGATACCAGAAGATATGTCTCAGACTTGCATACACACAATGACAACGATTCTAAAGATTAATGAGATTTTGAGTCAAGAAATTCCTTTTTATCTCAGTGTCAATGGCTGACCCTCTGTTCAAACCTAGTTTTGCATTTTGGTAAAAATCCTTCTAGCATCTATCCTAACAAGCCCCTTAAGAATGTTTTATTGAACAATGAGATCACTTGTTCTTCAAACTTTGAGGGAATACAAACCTAACCTGTATAATTTCTGTTCAGAGGTCAGCCTGGCTTCCTCTCCAGTGAGTTGCCAATGCATTTTGTCTCAACAAAGCATGACCTTCCTCAAAAATAAATGAAAGCAATATATAATATTTCAAATCATCAGCAAAAATTGTCAGTTTTGCTATTGTTACAGTGTTGGAGGCAGCTGTTCACCCCAACAGGTCCGCAGAGTTTCTAACGAGCATTGTAATTCTGACATTGTCCTGCCCTTTTCTCCAGAACCCTCAATATTTTTTCTTTTTAAATAACCATCTAATGTGCCCCCGAATGCTTCAATTGAACCTGCCTCCACTATACTTTCAGGTAACGCATTCTAGGTTGTGAGTACTCACTGCGTGAAAGAGATTTTTCTGATCACATTTTCTTCTTTTGCAAATTCTCTTAATATTTGTGTCCTCTGGTTTTTGATTCTGTTGAGGGGGAACAGTTTCTCCCCATTTAGTCTGTGCATTGCCCTCATGATTCTGAAAACTTAGTTCAAATCTCCCTTCAGCCTCCCAATCTCCAGAGGAAACACCCCAACTTTTCCAAATCTATCTCCAGAACTGAAGTTTCTCATCCCTGGAAAAATTATTTTCTGCACGCCTTGTGATATGATCATATCCTTCTCAAAGTGTGGTGCTCAGAACTAGACAATATTTCAGTTGAGGTCTAACTAATGTCTTATACAAGTTCAGCATAACCTCCTTGCTCCTATACATTATATCCCTTTTAATAAAGCCTTGAATTCTGCATGCTTTATTAACTCCTTGCTCTACTTGTCCCATCACCTTTCATGTCCTGTGCACATTTGTTCCTATACTATGCTCAGGGTAGCACCCTTTGTTTTAATATTGGCATCTTCTATCAAAATATCGTTTCATGCTTCTGTGGATTGAACTTCAACCACTTAACTGTCTACTCCAATTTGTCAATAACTTTCTGAAATTATACACAGTCCTCTTCATATATTATATCACTTCCAAGTTTTGCATCATTCACCAACTTGGAAACTGTGCCCTGCACACCAAGTTCTAGATCATTAACAAGCAGAGAAAGCAAGGGTCCCAAAACCATCAGGGAACTCAACAACAAACGTTTTACAGTCCAAAGTATGTCCACAACCATGCATCTACCTCCATTTATAAATTTCTTAATCCCCAATCAGCTGTTTCTCGTTATCAAATGGAGTGAACTGACTGACTGAAGACTGACATATGTGATGACAGCGTGACGATCATCCACTTGGCAGTCTAGTGTCTATGTCCTTTAAAACTCAATCAGCTTAGTCAGTCATGGTGCTGCCAAGTGAATCTTGGTGTTGAACGGAGAAGTCCTGCTCCCAGAGACTATTCTGCATCCTTGCCACACTTGGTGCTTTCTCAGGGTGGTGCTCAACGTGTGGGTTAGGATTGGTACTTAGCATCCATTCAAATGTGGACAAGGAAACCTCTTGTTGATTACCATGAGATATCATGCAGTCCAGGCTCCATGTTGAGGACTCCCAGGGCAACATCATCTTGACTGTATCACCTCTACTAGGTCTATCCTGCTGGAGGGTCAGATCACACAGAGATGGAGATTGCATTGTCTGAAAGGTATGATATGATTGTGTGACTATGACTACGTCAGGCTGTTGCTTGACTAGTTTGAGAAATATCAAACCCAAGTTTGGCACTCGTCCCCAGATATAGGCAAGGAGGATTTTGCAGGGTCAACAAACTTGACCTTGCCGTTGTCATCAATGGTCCCTATGTCGACGTCAGCTAGTCCATATTTCATTTCTTATTTCAGACATGTTAGTGGTCAGATATGGCAACTGGTGGCTTGTTATGTAATTTCATAGAGCAGTTAAAGTCAAACACATTGCTGTGGGTCTTCCTAACCACTCTGTCTACCTGTGATGCACATTTCAAAGAATTATGTATCCGAACCCCTAGGTTTTTCTGTTCTATAAGACCACCCAAGGCCTTACCATTAACTGCACAAGTCCTGTCCTTATTGGCGTTTTGGTAATACGATACCTCGCATGTATCCAGATTAAACACCTTCTGCCACTCTTCAGCCTATTGCCCCAAATGATCAAGATCTCTTTGTAATCTCAGACAACCTTCTTCACTGCCCACTATACCATGAACTTTGGTGTCATCTGCAAACACACTAACCATGTCTCCCATATTCTCATCCAAATCATTTATACAAATAACAAAAGTGGACCCAGTACCGAACCCGTTGGAACACCGCTGGTCACAGACCTCCAGTCTGAAAACAAACTTCCACCACCATCCTATCGGTCTCCTACCATAAAGCCAGTTTTGTATCCACTTGGCAAGGTCACCGTGAATCCTGTGTGATCTGACTTTACTAATTTGTCCACCTTTCAGTAATGCCTTGGAATGTTGTCAAAAGTTCAAGCAAACAACATCTACTGTTCTGCTCTCAATCTTTTTACCACAGTACCTGTTGATGGAAGGCGTCATCAACAGGCAGTATTTTTTTTAAACCGTCAGCTATTTAAACACACTCCCTGACTGCAGTCTCTCATCATTCAAACTTGCAGTTTTCCTGTGATGTCACTGATTACTTTTTCAAAACTCAGCCAACTTCCTAGTAAATGTCTCCCCCACTGGTGTAGATCTCTCCAATCTCCAGAGTAAGTGATGGCTTAGAGTCTTGTCCTCTCTTATCTGCTCCCGTATATGTAGAGATGTCTGCCACAGGTCTGGTTCTCACCACTTCTCAAAAGTAAGGCCACTAAATTTGAAAATCTTATTACCATTCAAGTGGAATGACGTAGTATTTCCTGCACTTGAACAGGTCATTCAACCCAATTGTTCACACCAGGGTTTACTTTCCACCGGAGTCTCTTTACATCTTTCCAGTTCTAACTCTATTATCAGAACCGGATATTCTTTTCTTCTGAGTTTGTATAGCTATCCTGCAAATACAGCTATACTATTCACTTCATCCATTTGCTGTGGTAATTAATTTCAAACAAAACTAACTTGTTTGATATAGAATCTCCTGGTCTGTCCGCTATTCAGAACACAATGGAGATCAGGAGTGCAGCAAAACATTTACAGAATAAAAGGCAGTGACACATAGACGAGAACTTTAAACTTGAAGTGCTGAAGGACCAGATGTCAATGCAAGCCAGTAAACACATCTGTGATGGGTGAGCAAGTCTTGGTATAAACTAAGACAAGGGTAACAGAGTTTCAGATGACTTCAGATTTAAAGGGTGAAAAGATAGAAGGCTGACCAGGACAGCATTGGGATAAATGTAGACACAAGGAAGCACGGACGAGGATTTCAGCAAAAGATGAGCCGAGATAGAGCCAAGGGCAACTGGGACGGAAGTAAGCAGAATTTGTTGCAAAAGGTATCAAGTAAGCTCTGCGTGGGGTTCAATAGGCTGTCGGGTTTGTGACTAGCCTTGTTTAGCCAGAGACAGTTGTCTAGAAAAATGTAGAAAATCAGTGTTGACGGTATGAAGTTTGTCACAAAGAATAAAAACAACCACTGCGGTCTTCTAAATGCTTAATGGTGAAAAAAGTAATCAAATATTGGATAAACAGACTAAGGTAGTGGAGAGGTCAAGAGAAAGTACTCTGTGGAAGCTGATAAAACAGATAACAGACAGCATTACAATAATTAATATACATTTACGGCATATCTAAATATCTTTAAAGCACAAAGCCCAGTAGGAAAGATGACCCAACTATGGCAACAAGAAAAGTTAAATATAGTATCAAGCCAAAGATAGAGATTCATAGAGCTGCCAAGACTAGTGAGTCCAATGACTCAATGCATTTTAGAGTTCAAAGGAGGACCCAGAAACTGTCAAAGAAACTGACTAGAATAAGCAAACCATCAAGAACTCAAAAGAATTAGTGAAATATTCTATTGGTATGAAAGAAAAAAGGATTAACAATGACACAAGTGGACTCACTACAGGCACATGCAGGAGGCTTTAAAATGGGGGAAAATAGAAGTGGCAGAGAGGCTAAAAGACTTTGTCTTAAATGAAGAAAAACAAAGTCTCCTAGGAGCATACAGTTACTACAGGACTAGTGAGAATAAGGAACTGAAAGAAATGATTAGTAGAAGAAAGTAATATTGGAGAAACTAGTGGAATTGAAAAATTGACAAATCTTGGGAATAATCTAGATAATCTAAACAATTTAGGTCACAGTACTGGAAAAAACGATAGTGATTGTGAACGTGTTGATATTCATCTTCCAAAATTCAGATTCTGGAATGGTTCTGACAGACTAGAAGACAGCAAACGTAACCCAATTATTTAAGAAATGAGGGAGTCACAGACATCAGGAGCAGCATTCCCTCCAATTTTCGTCAGCTGTGCAGTCTAGGAGACCCATGCGCAGCAGCAACTTCTGGATGTTAATACCATGATTGGCATGCTGACATCAATTGCTGCTCAAGAAGCATTGAAGCACCTGCATGTGCAGCCTGCAGGGAATGTTGATCAGTAGGAAAATTCCTAGAATCTGTTGTGATATTCTGTGAAAACTGTACAGCGAAAAAATAGTGGTACGATTGAGCAGAATTTAGGAGAAAGGAATTAAGTTGGCCAAACCTGTAGAGTTGATGTAACTAACATAAGGGGTGTAGAAAACAGTGGATGTGGTGTATTTGCCTTTTAATAAAGGTCTCACTCAGGCAGTTGGTAGAAGGGATCACAGATAACATACCGGCATGGATTGAGAAATTGATCAATGGGTTAAAAATAGTAGAAGCACACAGGTTATCACAGTTTGGCAGTCTGTCACTGAGTACTACAAGGATTAGTGCTTGGGCCTCAGCTAACCACAATTTTTATGTAGGACTAAATATATTATTTCCAAGTTTCCCAATCTCAAAACTAGGTGGGAATGCAAATCATGAGGTGGTTGCAAAGAGGCTGCAAAGACATTTATTCAGGTTAAATGACTGGACAAGAACATAAGCGTGGAAAAATGCGAAGTTATCACTTGTTACAAAAGACAAATGCACAACATTTCTTAAAAATGAGATTGTGGAGTGTTAATATCCAAAGAAACTCAGTGACGTTGCTCGCAAGTCACTGAAACTAACGTATAGCTGCAACAAGCAAAGGTAAATAGTATGCTGACTTTTAAGAGTCTTGTGGCATAGTAGTAGTGTCCCTATCTCTGGGCCAGTAGGTCCCACTTGTCCCAGAGGTGTCTTGGAGAGATTGAGTTACTTGCATTTAGAATAATGAGAAGTTATCGCACTTAAGAATACCAAATTCTTACAGTCATTGTAGGAAACACATTTCTTCTAGCTGGGAGGAAATGGAGGTCCAGTACCATAGGGAAGACTCAGAATAAGAGAGGTAGGCCATTTTGGGACAGGTATTTGGGATCTTTTCCACTGGGAGGGGGGTTCCTAAGTTTCACCACCAAGAGATCTGTGGAGGCTCATTGAGTACATTCATAACAGAAATGGATAGTTTTCTAGATGTTAAAAATATCAAGGATAGTGCGTGAAAATGGTAGAGGTAGATCAGCCACAATCTATTTGAATGGAAGAGGAGACTTCAGTGGCCAAAAAGCCTACTCCCACTCCTACTTCCTAGATTCATCTAGGATGATGTTGCAAAATAGCAGAAAATGAACAGTCATGGAGATTTTCCGAGTGAGTGTCAGGGTGAAAACAAAGTCCTGCCCTAGAGATCATCTAAGAGTAACTGGTTTTACGCTTGTTCAATCAGAGCAGTTCCATAAAGCTGGACAATGGAAGGCAAGCCTAACAGGATATATCATCAACCATTTCAAGATTGCAGAAAAGCTGTGACAATGTACCACTTCTTGTGGCTTTGGTGAAGGCTATTTCAAGGCTTCATGTCAATCAAAATGCCAAATAAATGTAGGGTGCTAGAAAATTGGCTACACGTGAGCAAAACTTGGCAGAAGGAATGTAATATTGGAAAAATGTGATCTTATGCACTTTGGCAGGAAGATTAGTTAAATGAAAGTGACTGTAAAAAACAACAGAGATTTAAGAGTCCTTGCACACTAAATCACAAAAAGCTAGCAGCCAAGTTCAGTGGGTAATAGGAAAGGCAAATAGAATGTTGGCCTTTATTTCAAAGGGAATGAAGTAAAAAAAAAAAAAAACACATGGGTGGTATTGTTAAAACTGTACAAGGCACGAGTCAGACCATAGCTATGATGCAGTGAACAGTTAGGACCGCATTGAGGAGGAATTTCTGTCAAGGTGTAGTGAATGTGTGGAATTCTTTACTATAGGGACAAATTTTTAATCAGTAAGGGAATCAAGGATTATTGGGAGAAGGCAAAGTGCTGAGGGTCGTCAGATCAGCCACACATTAAATGGCAGAGCAGACTTGATGGGCTGAACGTCCTACTTTTGCTCCAATGTAGTATGAGAGGCCACAACATATTCAGAGGCAAATAAAGTTGCAAATTGTAGTTTTGCAGGGTAAGAGTACCAAGAACATTACTTGTTCTGAAAGTAAAGTGGTTAATCCCTGGGCAGAGAAAATCATTTAGAATATCTACGAGTATAGGACCAAGATTACAGAACTGGATAACACTGTAATGGAAACTGGATCAGGGAACAAAAGATGGGGCCTACTTGAAACCTCCTCAGAAAAGGCTTGGATAGACATGACAAAATAGCGAGCGCCAGGTTTAACTCCTTATTTCATACTAAGCGTCAAACAGTCAACAACACAATACATCTACGTTGGTCCAAATGTAGAAGAGTAGAAACTAAATTGTTTCTTGCTGAACTGATGAATGCTAATATGATAGAAAATACATGCAATTGGACATTTGTATTAGTGTGGCAGAAAGAGTAACATGAACCAGGTTCATCCCCATTTTAAAATCTTGCAACTACAGCAAACAAATGTTCACATCTACCTGTTCCTCACGTTTCTGTTTCCGTAGCTGCAGTCCTTCCTCTTCCCGTCGTCTTCTCATCTCATCGGGATTGAGAGAGTTGTTTTTGTAGCTCTTCAGCCGAAAATTCTCTTTTCCTGCGCTTAACATGGTGTTAGGTAAACTGCAAAAAGACAATTGCAGAAAGATTAAAGCCATCTCAACAACAGTCATGCACAGCTGCTTCGCTTATCTGATAGTGAGCTTGGTGCCAAACATGGTCTTTTAGCAACTCTACATAGGAACCGATCTTTGAAAATTAAAATTAAAGCATTTAACCACCAAAAACTGATGTTACTTCAATTAAGAAAAATCCAAGCTGTTAAAATGCCTGAAATGTGAAAGCAAATCACCTGAATAAAATCAATGTAAACTGCACTGGCAAATAATGCTAAACGTGCAAAATTGCTGTTAAATTTGCAATTGCCAGTTACTGCACATCAAGTTACTGTCCAAAATGTCAAAGATTTGCCTCTTTGTAATAAAAAGGAATGTTGGAAATATTGAGTATGTATAGAGAAAAAGTTTGTGTTTCAGGTTGATGATTCTTTCCACCTGAGAATTTTCAGCATTTCCTATTTTTATTATACATTTCCAGCATCAGCAGTATTTTGTACATGCGATTGTGTTGTTTTTAATTTTGAAAAGATATGCTCAACATGCTTTGAAATTGTCTAGAGATCTACAGCACAGAAAAAGGCCCATCGCGTCTGCACTGTCAAAATACAACCATCTAGCTATTCTAATTGCATTTTCTAGCACTTGGCCCATAGCCTCACAGCCTTGGCATCACAAGTGGACATTTAATACTTCTTAAAATGTTGAGAGTTTCTGCATCTATCACTCTTACAGGCTGTAAATTCCAGATCCCATCAACCTCTGGGTGAAAAAGGTTTTCCTTGCATCACCTCTAAACCTTCTGCCTCATACTTTAAATCTATCGCCCCTGGTCATTCACCCTTCAATTAAGAGGAAACATTTATTCCTGCCTAACCTATGTCACTCATACCTTTAGGTATCTTGATCATGACCCTCAGTCTCCTCAGCTCCAAGGAAACCGGTCCAATCTCTCTTCATAAACTCTCCAGCCCAGTCAATATCCTGGTAAACTCCTCTGTACCATCTCCAGAATAATCGTACCTGTCCTATACAGTGGATTCCAGAACCACACACAATATTCTAGCTGTGGCCCAATCAACACTTCATGCGGCTTCAGCATAACCTCCCTGCCGTTCAGCTCTATGCCTCAGCTAATAAAGACAAATATACCAGAAGCATTCTTAACCATTTTATCCACCTGTCCTGACACCTTAAGTATATGCATATCAAGGTTCCTTTGAAGCTTCCCAGAGTTCTACCTTTCATCATGTATTCCCTTGCCTTGTTTGTCCTGTTCAAGTGCATCACCTCAGTTTATCTGGATTGAATTCTATTTGCAACTGATCAGCCCATCTACATTTCTCTGTAATCGAAGGCTATCCTCCTCACTAGTTACCACCCCACCATTGTTTTTTAAATCTGCAAACTTACTGATCAACCCTCCTACATTGAAATCTAAAACCACTAAACAGCATGGGCATCAACAAGACCCTACAGGGCAACAGACTTCCAGCCAGAAAAACACCCCTCCATCAGCACTCTGCTTCTGACCACTCATCTAAATATGGATTCAACTTGCCAAATCTCCTTGAATCCCAAGGGCTCTTACCCTTTGTATCAGTCTCCCATGCAGGACCTCACCAAAAGCCTTGAAGTCATCTAAATTGACTGTCTGTGCTCATCTACATGTCTTGTCACCTCTTTGAAAAATTTAATCATGTTGGTCAGACATGACCTCCCCTTAACAAAATCCATGCTGACTGTTCTTGATTAATCCCTGCCTCTTCAAATACAGATTAATTCTGTCCTTCAGAATTGCTTTCAATAATTTTCCCACCACTGAGGGGAGTCTGACGGCCCTGTAGTTTCCTGGTTTATCCCTTGCTTCCTTCTTGAATAATGGCACCACATCAACCACAGGACTAGAGGACAGCCAGAGAGGAATTGAAAATGTTTGAAAGTATGCCTGCTATTTCCTCCATTGCCTCACTCGACATCTTGGAATACATTTGGATTATAAAATCATCGAATCAATCGTCAAGCTATATTTTACAAGACAGAAACAGAAAACTAAAGTTCCAACTCCAACAAATTGTGTGAATTTGAGGAGCATCATACAGCAAGGCAGTGACTCCTGTACTATTGGTTTAAAGGACCCTTCAATCAATTACTGAATGTTAATACATGCCTTGGTTCTGTCCTTGGATTATGACTCCTTTGAGATAAGCAAAAGCCAGTTCAATAGATAAGATACAAATTGGGCGGGGGACACAGGAGTGCAAATTGATTTAGAAAATAATGGGAGCAGACTTATCTGGAATATAAATTTGGTTTGGATCAATTGGGCTGGATGTGCATCATGCAACCAGACCATTCAAAGTAAACCTAAGTCTAGATAGAAGAACAGAGTTCGAGAAATCTTGTGTTGGCAGGCAAAACTTTCTATTGCTTTTGTAGTTGCCAGGGACTGTAGATTTAACTTGAATTGGATTCTCAGAATCTGCCAGCTAATTCAAACTTTTACACTTGAATTTTGAAATTCTAGTTACCCTAGTGATTGAACAGATTCAACATTTGGCAAGAATTTGCACAATGCCTTTGGAAGCTAACGTTCAGCAATGAATGGCCTTCTTAGAAAAATCTCAACCAGTTTAATCATACATGATTAGTTCTATGATCAGTTAAAACTTGTCCGCCATTTGGTCTCTGATGATATATCCCCAAAGTTTTCTCAAAACTGATAACAAACTGCTAGTTACTTGCTTTTTTTTTTAAAATATCTCTCCCTTTTTAAATAATGAAATAGTGTTTGAAATTTGCCATGCTTTTCAGCAATCTGGCCAAAATCAAACTTGACAGGATTTCACATCTTATAGTTTCAGTGAAGCTTACAGTACATGTACTAAAGAACTTTAAAGATCAAAGAGGTCATGTTTGTCTTGAACCCCAGGAGACAGGAGAGATTCTAAATGAATATTTTTGCGCCTTTTTTTTGAAAAATACTGTGGAGAAAGAAATGGAGGCTAGAGAAGACCGGGAAATAAATTTTGATGTTTTAAAGACAGTTCACATTACAGAAGAGGTAGTAAGACCTGCAGATGCTGGAGTCAGCGATAACAGTGTGGAGCTGGAGGAACACAGCCGACCTAGCAGCAGAGGGAAAGCTGACATTTCGGTTTGGGACCCTTCTTCAGAAATGGGGCGTGGGGGAAAGAGTTCCTCAACTTTACTAACACCTTTCACCCCAACTTCAAATTCACCTGGACCTATCTGTCTCTATTCTGATGACCACCTCGAAGCCGACATCTATTTCAAGCCCACCTTCTCCCACAGCTACCTAGACTACACCTCCCCTCACCCACCTTCCTGCAAGAATGCGATGCCCTACTCCTAAATCCTCCACTGCATATGCTCCCAAGATGGGGCGTTCCACTCCCGAACGTCCCAGATGTTGTCTTATTTCAAGGACTGCATGCTCTCAACCACATCTCTTGCGTTTCCTGCATCTCTGCCTTCACACCCCCTCCCCAACAAAAACAAAGACAGAATCCCCCTCTTGTCCTCACATATCACCCCACTAACCTCTGTATCCAAAGTATCATTCTCCGCCACTTATGCCACCTACAATCCCACCCCACAACATATTTCCCTCCCCATCCCTTTCTGCCTTTCGTAGGGACCGCTCTCTCCACGACTCCCTCGTCCACTCCACACTCCCCAACAGCCCCACCACCCTGGCATGTTTCCCTGCACCCTGGAAGTGCTACACCTGCGCCTACACCTCCCCCTTCACCTCCATTCAAGGCACCAAACAAACAGGTTCACCTGCACATCCGTCAACATGGTTGATTGCATCCGCTGCTCCCGATGCAGCCTCCTGTACATTGGTGAGGCCAAGCAGAGGCTCGGAGACTGCTTTGTAGAGCGCCTACACTCTGTTCCGAACAAACACCTTCCGGTCGTGAACCACTCCCACTCCCACAAGTCCATCCTGGGCCTCCTCCAGTGTCAAAATGCTGCCACCTGAAAACTGGAGGAGCAGCACCTCATATTCCGCCTCGGGAGCCTACAGCCCAATGGCCTACATGTGGATTTTACCAGTTTCAAAATCACCCCGCCCCTGCCCTCACCCCATGACCAACCCTCCCTTTCACCCCACCTCCTTGACCTGACACAACTTGTCCATCTTCTCTCCCACCTATCCACCCCACCCATCCCACTGACCAAATTCACTATTCCCTACCCGTACTCACCTATCACCATCCCACCTACCTTCTCCAACCCCACCCCTCCTGTTTATTTCTGAGCTCCCTTTCTCCACCCACCTTCCCTCCCGCCCCCAAATTCTGAAGGGTCCCGACCCGAAACATCAACTTTCCTGCTCTTCTGATGCTGCCTGGCCTGCTATGCTCCAGCTCCACACTTATCACATTACAGAAGAGGAAGCTCTTTAGGTATACAACAGGACCAAGGTCCTGCCGTTAACGGTATGAGTTCTACCCTTGTTTGTTATACCAAAATGCAACACTTCTCATTTATCCGTTTCTGCCATTTTTCAGCCTACTGACCTATTTGACTAAGATCCTTTTGTAATCTTAGAAAACCTTTACTGTCTACAATGACACCAAGTTTGGTGTCATCTGCAAACTTTCTAACAATGTCTTTTATATAAATGACAAGGATGAAAGTACAGATGACAAACAAGAGAAGATCCAGATCCCTGTGGAAAACTGGTGACAGGCCTGTAGTCCGAAAAATAATCCTCTAGTCGTGGGAAGTAAGGGAGGAAATTATGAGTCTCCTTGCAGAAATAACTGCATCATCTATAACTAAGGGTGGCTAATGTTACACCTTTGTTTAAGAAGGGCTACAAGGAGAAACTGGGGAACTATATAACAGAGTCTGACATTAGTTGTGGGTAAATTGTCGGAGATGATTTTAAAATGTAGGAATTATGGACAGTTAGAGAGGCAAAAATTGATTAGGGATAGTCAGCATGGTTATGTGAGAGGAAAGTCATGTCGCACAAACTTGATTGAGTTTTTTCAGGAAGTTACCAAAATGATTGTATACTAATCCACTGTCAACATTGTCAAAGGCATTACTAAAGTCAAAGTCAACGTAAACAAGGTTCCACAGGTAGACTAATTGCTAAGGTTAGATCACATGGGATTCAGGGGGACCTTGCCAATTGCATACAAAATTGGCTTGACGGCAGGAGACAGTGGTGGTGGAGGGTTTTTTTTTTGGACTGGAGGCCTGTCATCAGCAGAGTTCCACAGGGATCAGTTCTGGGTCCTTTGTTATTTATAACATATAAAAATGAATATGGAAAGCATGGGTTAGTAAGGTTGCACGTGACACCAAAAATGGTGGCATTGCAGACAGTGAAGGTTTCCTATTATTACAAAGGGATCTTGACCAAATGGGTCAATGGGCTGATAAATGGTCGGAGGAGTTCAATCTGGATAAATGCGAGGTATTGAATTTTGGTGCAATAAACAAGGGTAGGACTTATACAATTAATGATAGGGTCTTGAGTAATGTTGTGAACAGAGGGTTCAGGTATATAATTCTTTGACGTTTGCGTCACATATAGACAGGGTGTTTAAAAAGACATTTAGCACGCTTGCCTTCACTGCTTAGTTCTTTTGAGTACAGGAGTTGGGAAGTCATATTGTACAGGGCATTAATGAGACCTCTTCTGCAGTAGTGTCCATTTCTGGTCACCCTGTTATAGGAAGGATATTAAGCTGGTGAGGGTTCAGAGGAGATTTACAAATATGTTGCCGGGTATGGAAGGTTTGAGTTACAAAGAAAGGCTGGGACTTTTTTCACTGGAGCAATGGATGTTGAGATGATTTTATAAACTTCTAAAGGTCACAAGGGGTATAGATAAGGTTAATAGTAGGTGCCTTTTCCTTAGGATGGGGGATTTCAAGAGTAGGGGGCTCATTTTTAAGGAGAGAGGAGAGATTTAAAGAAGACAAGCAGCAAATTTTTTCTTTTAAACACAGAAGATGGTTCATGTATGGAATGAACTTCCTAATGAAGTATTGGATGTGGGCACAATTACAGTCTTTAGAAGACATTTGCATGGATACGTGAACAGGAAAGGTTTGGAGGGAAATTGGCAAGGAGCAGACAGGTGGGACTAGTTTAGCTTGGGATTATGTTTGGCATGGACTGGTTGGACTGAAGGGTCTGTTTCCGTGCTGCATGTCTATAAACTAGGAGCAGGAGGAGGCAATTCACCCACTCCAGTCTGCTCTTCCATTCAATACGATCTCGGCTGATCTCAAACTTGTCCTCAGCTCCATTTTCCTGCCCGTTCTGTATAACCCATTGCTAACTAAAAATCTGTCTATCTCCTCAAATTTACTCAATGTCCTGGCATCCACCACACTCTGGGATAGTGAATCCCACAGATTCACAAACCGTTGAGAGAAGTAATTTCTCTTCATCTGTTTTAAATTTATTATCCCTTATCCTAAACTATGATCTCTCATTTTAGATTGCCCTAGAAGAGGAAACATCTTCTACACCTACTTTGGCAATTCCCTTTGGCATGTTATATCCCTCAATTAGATTTCCTCTCGTTCTTCCAAACTCTACCAAATTATAGGCCTAAACTGCTCAATCTATACTTCGCAGATGACATTTCATCTCTGGAATTAACCTAGTCAACCTTCCCTAAACCACTTCCAATGTGATTACACCTCTGCTCAAGAAAGATGACCAAACTGCAGGCAATACTCCATGCGCAGTCTCACTAATGCCATGTACCATTATTAGGATAGGACAAAATGGATGCAAATCATAGGATATGTACAGACAAGTTGGGCCTGTAGCTTAGAGGAAATCTGGTTTAATAATGCATTCTCTTTTGCCTACATTGACATACATGAGGCTTTATCCATTTTGAAGAAGTGTAGTCGTCTGTGGAGTGCATACCTCCACCATGCTGTGCTAACTCAAACTTTAATAGAATTAAAGTTTTTCGATGAGGATATTCCTCATTAGCTCTGCAGTTACAAAGCATTAAAAAAAAAAAAATCTGTTTATTCAAAGCTTCCATCTCAGATAAACATAGAACAATCTGCTCAGATTTGCCCAGGTTAGCTCAGTTGGCTGGATGGCTGGTTTGCTATACAAGTAATGCCAACAGCATGGGTTTAATTCTCACACTGGCATAGGTTACCATGAAGGACTCCTCTTTTCAACATTTCCCCTCACCTGGAAGTTAAATTACCACCAGTCATCTTAACACCATGTGATAACTTGAGGGGCCAAGCGGCCTCCTCTTTTCTCATCCATTCAAAAGGATGATGGCTGATCCAACATTCCTGACCTTCCCCTGTAATGCTTGATTCTCCTATGAATCAACAATTTAACGAGATGCAGCTTATGCTCCGGTAGGACTATGGTGACTTTACCTTATACCTTCACATCTTTGAAACCACCATAACCACTGAAACGCTTTCAGTTCTCTTACTCAAACTTAAACATTAAATGCAGGGTACAAATGTGAAGAACTGGCCTCACTTGTGAATGAATACTGGTGCCAGAGGAATTTTGATCCTCAAAACAAAAAATGGAACAACCTCAAACCAGTTCTGAGCCATAAAACCAAAGTGCTTATATATGTTTTTAAAAACAGTTTGCGCTCATCTGATCTGGTGAGTGATTAAAAATTGTCACAAATCCAAATTCTGCTATGGTCTTCATCCTAAGTGTGCCAGATTTTGGACATTAGGCCTGTGACAGAAACACAACTAGTGTATTTACCAGGAAATAAGAAAAAAATAAACTCCTATCAAAAGATCGATGCAAATCAGAGATTCGTTAAACACAACTTCATACAGTCCTCTCTTTTCAACCGGCATACTATCAATAAGAGTAAGTCCAGAGTCCACACAAGGAAATAAAGTCAATCCGGCAAGCCACATCATACAAACGAGTTTATATGATGTTATAATTCTCACTTACGCTCAGGTATGCAATGTTTGCTCCACAGGCGGGCTAGCAAGACACCAGTTTAAATTGTTCCAATTTGTTTCCTTTTCTTTCAATCAGACTCAGGAGTAGGCTACTCATCCCGAAATTAGTTCTACTATTCAATTTGTATCTCAATTCCATCTATGTACATTTCTTTTTGTATTAAGTGTTTCAGAACCAATCACAGCTTGAAACCTTCAACTGACTGACTTCTGGGGTGTTAGAATGTTTCAGATTTCCATCACACTTTAGGTGAAGAATGATTTTCCAACGTAACCCTGATCAACTAACTCTAAATTTCAAAGGTAACGTACCCTTGTGAGAGTGAAATATTTACTGTCATTATCTTTAAATCACCCTACACATTTCAATTGGATCAACCTTTTATATTCAAGGGGATACAAGTATAGTCTTTACCACTTGAGCTTAAAGTTAACACTTCCAGCCTCAAATTAGTTGTTGAATTTGTGCATCACCCTCTTCCTATGTCCCAGTGTCCAGAAATGAACAATGCATTCCAGACTGAGTCCAAAGTTTTGCGCAAATGTAACTTCTAGATGTGCTTCAGAACCAAAATAACAATATGGTGGCAGAGCTTCCTTTCGGTTTAGATAAGCCAGCAACATTTTGCAGTTCAAGTCCATGTGAAAAGAAAGCAAAAACTGATTCTTAAAACCAAGTAAAAGTGAAATACACTAAGGTAATGTTTCGAGAAATCCAACATAACTGTAAATTTCTGTCAAATGAACAGTGCTAGAGTTATATGATCTCAGTCTGGACAGCAATAGGTTGAATTATAACTAATCTCAATAACTATCTTTTTTTGACAAGCTACAGCCAACAGAGGAGAGGCGGATTGTACAACATACCTATTGTTTTCTTAGACCTCCTGAGGATCAGCGACAGATTGGACTATGCTACCACAAAGAGTTGATCAGTGCCTCATGGGCTTCCTTTAATTCTAGGGCATGTGCAGCAAACTGTCAGAAGCAGAAAGTCAAAATTTTCAGCCACCACTGTGCAATTTGGGGTGTGGGACAAAAATGAAATACAATCCAAATGTTTCCTATTGATATATACAAGTGAAATACAGTACAAGGATAACCATTATTACCTTGAGAATAATTAGTTTGGATCAAAACAGTAACTCTCTCTACACAGGTGCTGCCAGAGTTTCTCCAGCACTTTGTATTTACAGGACGTTCTCACTTAAAGTCAAGATTACTTTTCTCAATATTGCAACTTGAAGTGAAGTATGGTTTCCCATAGGAAGGTTAGGTTTCAGAGGATAACCTTCACGTAAAATAGAAAAGTAATGTAGCAGTTGAATTACTGGGCCATGCTTGTGCAATTCTGTATATTCCTAGCTGAAATAAATTGCAAATCAAAAACATAAAGCTTGTGAGGAAAAGGCTCCTTGCTTGCAGAGAAGTCTTTACCAGTATTTGACTCAATTTCTTTAAAGTACTGTAGAATACAGTAGAGAATTTTTTCTATAAACCTAAAAAAGTTATATTACAGGTACAAATAAATAAATTCAATAAAAAGATTTAAAGCAAAGTTTAGTTCAGTGCCAGAGCACAGAACAGTTCACAAAAAAAGATCATTGACGGCATGGCACCAATTCCTGTAGCACAACTGAGGACCTCACTGATGAGGCGAGTTATGCAATAAAGCAGGACACAACCAGAACACAAGGGATATTAAAACAAGGAATGGCACTTTAAATAAGGGATACTTAAAATGAGGACTCCCTGCTCCACAAGCTTACTGTACACAATCAGATGCCAAAATGAAAATTTTGGTTGGCTTTAAAAGGCAATCTTTCATTAGTAACTGTGTTCCAACTGAATAATTTGCATTCCGATTCCAAAGTCAAAGTTTTATCAGCTCAATTCAAAATCCCAACAGTAACTGAATGGTTTAGGAAACAATTTCTGGATAAGGAATGATGTCAAGAAAAATAGTAAATTTATCAAAAAATGTAGTGTGAAATAGAAGACACATTAATAGTGATAAAACTTAGTGGCAACTGTAATTGAAGATTTAGATTCTTCTTATTTTACCCTTTAACCTATGAAAATCCATGTAAAAAGGCAATTTCTTCACAATATAATATCAGTTAGCCACAATAAGCTGCTGCAGCCTCTGATATATGGTACTATTTACTGCCAATCACATATTCCAAACAGGATACTAATAAACACACTGCCTCAAATGCTTTATTAAATGGAAGGAGGATGGTATTAATTTTTAATTTGAAATACTGTTGAATGCCTGTGGGACCACTGTTTCTTTTCAGCATTAAAAGGTTAAATTATAGCAGAACAGAATATTTTAGTTAGCGGAATACTCAACGTTTTCAGGCACTGCATAGGAGCAATTTATTATTAATAAAATACTGTAAAATATAGTTAAAACAATCCGATTCAGGTTTAGTAAGTCATGTCTATACAGGACAACAGCTTATAGCACATCTTGAATACTGCATCTTATCTGATCACTGAGCCACAAGGAAACAAGAGCTGGAAGTTCTTTACAGAAAGCCACAATATTGGCTCCTATAACACAGTTTACGTCAATGAGTTATGTTAAGCACTGGGGACTTTGGGGTGGTTTATATGACATTCCTCACATATTTTCACCATCACCTGCTTTCTTAAAATTTCGGCTGAGAAAGTCAAAAACAGCGTTGGTACTGGAGCACTATCATCTTCCGACCACAGAACATCCCGATTTGCAAAGACATCACCATTTATTCTTCAATATTGAGTCAGTAGTCTAGAATGTCCCATCTCAACACTAGTACAGGGACTACAACAAATCAGGAAATACAACTATAACGGGCAATTAACACAGTCATGTCAGTGTTTCAAGATCCAAAGGACAAAATTCTTCTTTAAAATACTGAAGATATACAGGGAATCCTGCAATCTAAAATGTTGCTAGAAGTGCACAAGTCATTCAGTATTTTAAGATGGTTAAACATTTCAGACAGTATCTTTTAGCAGAACTCACTGTGTCAGCTGAAGACGCCCCTTTAACGCTGACAGGATTGAGGAGGAAAATAAAAGATAAAAACTGAGTTTATCCAAATGTTGCAGAGAAACAGTTGATGGATTTGATTACCGAGCATTGAAGTCATACAGCATGGAAACAAACCCGACGGGCCAACCAGTTTACGCTGATCATGTTCCCAAACTAAACTAGTCCCATTTGCCTGCATTTGGCAGATATCCCTTCGTATCTTTTTTATTCACGTACTTATCCAAAGTGTTTTTTTTTAAAAAATGTTGTCAACTGTGCCTGCAGAGAAATATTTAAAACACAGGCTCAACTAATGAAATTAGCTTTTAAAACTATTGGGACCATCACTATTTTTCTTTTTTCCCAGTTTTGGTTTGGAACCGCAGCTGAGGTCAAGAGTTGAAATTTGGACTTTGAGCTTGTCATAAAAAAAACAAAAGGAAGGACAAACTTATTATTTGCTTTTGGGAACTGGCCTGGAAAGTTAATTGCAGGGTTTATTATATCCTAACAACACTGTAGATGTTTCTGTGCCCAAGACATATTATGCTTAAGAACTGGTAGCTGCTTGGATGCTAAAAGGGGCAATGGTGGGGGGTTCACAGTGCCAACCAAGAATGTTGGAAAAACAAAAGGGCAGCATGGTGGCACAGTGGTTAGCACTGCTGTCTCACAGCGCCAGGGACCCGGGTTCAATTCCACCCTCGGGCAACTGTCTGTGTGGAGTTTGCACATTCTCCCCGTGTCTGCGTGGGTTTCCTCCCACAGTCCAAAGATGTGCAGGCTAGGTGGATTGCCCATGCCAAATTGCCCATAGTGTTCAGGGACATGTAGATTAGGTGGGTTATAGCATGATGGGTCTGGCTGGGATGCTCCAAGAGTCAGTGTGGACTTGTTGGGTCGAAGGGCCTGTTTCCACACTGTAGGGATTCTATGATCTAAAAAGAAACCAAAGATTGAACTGGTTTTGACTATTTTCTGGGTCAGAAGGCAATATGGCTATAAAAGGCTGCTGGAAAGAGTTTGTGTTCCTCTCTAGTTTACATCCAGTTTTCAAATTGCTGTATTGAGAAAAGAATCCTAGTTTATAAGAAATAACAATATTCCTTGGAATCTGCTGGAAGCTGTTTGCATTGACTGGTCTTCAGAATTAAAGCAAGATATAATCCCGTGCAGCTGTCAACACAGCAAAGCATTTTCTTAAAGACTTGGTACTTATTGTTGAAACTACTTTAGTGAATTAGCCAGTTACAACTTTTTAATTTATCCCTTAATTGTCTGAGTGAGAGAAGGGGGCTACAATCAGAAATGATTGGGTTTAAATAATTTGACATTAAGTCATTGAGTCAGAGATCTATAGCGTGAAAACAGGCCCTTCAGCCTAACTTTGCCCACGCAGCTCAGTTTTCACAATTTAAACTAGTCCCATTTGCCTGCATTTGGCCCATATCCTTCCATACCTATCCCATCCACGTACCTGTCTATTTCTTAAATGATGACTGTATTCGCTTCCACCATTGTCCTCTGGAAAAAAAAATGCCCCTTTGGACTCATCAATTTCTCCCCTCTCACCTTAAACCTATGCCCTCTAGTTTTAGACTTCCCTACCATGGGGAAAAGCTGTCTGCTACCTACTTTATTGATGCCTCTCATGATTTTATAGACCTCTATAAAAGTCGCTCCCTCAGCCTCCTACACTCCAGTGAAAGAGTCCCAGCCTATCCAACCTCTCCTTATACCTCAAACCTTCCAGTTCAGGTAGCATCCTAGTAGATCTTTTCAGTACTTCAGCACTATTATCCTTTCTACAGTAGCATGACCAGAACTGCACAGTGCGCTAAATATGGCCTCAAAGTCTTGTACAGCTGCAATAAGACATCTCATCTCCTATACTCAATGCTCCGCCTGATGAAAGCTAGCATGCCAAAAGCCTTCTTCAGCACCCTATCTGTGACTCCATTTTCAGGGAGCTATGGACTTGTACCCCTAGATCTCTGTTCTATAAACACTCCCCAGGTCCCCATCATTGACTTTGCAAGTCCTGCACTGGTTTGCCTTACCTAAATGCAATACCTTGCATTTATCTAAATTAAATTCCATCTGCAATTCCTCAGCCCACTGGCCCAGTTGATCAAGATCTCACTGCATTCCCAGATAACCTTCTTCACTGTCCGCTATACTACCAACCTTGGTGTCATCCGCAAACTCACTAAACATACCTCCTAAATTCTCGTATAAATCATTTAGACCAATGACAAACAACAGTGGATCTAGCATGGATCCCTGTGGCACACCACTGATTACAAGCCTCCAGTCTGAAGAGCAACCCTCTACCACTGCCCTCTATCTCCCACCATCAAGGCAATTTTGTACCCAATTGGCTAGCTCTCCCTGGATCTCATGAAACTTAAACTTACTCAACAACCTACTATGCGGTACCTTGAAGTTAAATAAATAGATATTAATTAGATAACCTTGTTTAGCTTTTCTCTGAAATAACAGTATTAGCAATAAAGTGTTAACTTCTGCCTAAGATATAAACCTGGTGTCTGATATCTATTATTATGTATAAATCCTGGTTTGGAACAACTGGGCAACTTTAACGGTTATTGAATATTTTAATTTCATTGTGTTGCAATATCCAGAGTTAGTGAGTCTGATTTGGACTGTCTTGCTCTCCCTGTGTTGTACCAAAACAATAAACACTACATTTTTAGCTTTTTGTAAAGGCAAATACTCAACTGAAGTTCAAGGGAGGCAACAACTTAGTGGTATAATCACCGGACTGTTAATCCAGAGACCCAGGTAATGTTCTGGGGACCTGGATTCAAATCCCGTCATGGCAGAGGGTGGAATTTGAATTCAATAAAAATCTGGAATCAAGAGTCTAATGATGACCAGGAATCAACTGTCAGGAAAAACCCATCTGGTCATTTAGGGAAGGAAACTGCCATCCTTACCCAGTCTGGCCTACACGTGACTCCCAACCCACAGCCCTCCAGGCAATTAGGGTTAGGCAATAAAGATGACCTAGCCAGTGATGCCTTCATCTTGTGAACAAATACGCAAGTTAAAAATCTCAAAACCCTTATATTCACGTGTCTATTTGTTATCTGAATCCAGTTCAAGTGTACAGCATTTTTACTATTCTGGGGAATATCAAAGCTGAACCAAAACTTATTCCCAATAAAAATTTACGGACAAGCACTTCTAGTCACTTAACAATAACAAAGCAGCTTTTTTTGGGGCCTTGAATAGAATTGGGGCAATGAGGTCAAGTGTCCATTTCGTCTGGAAGCGCTGCCAAGATCAAATCACTTAGGCCAGAATTTAACTTTCGGTCACACATGGGTCAATTCCATATTAAACTGCATATTTCTCTACGAAATGACAGATGTAAAAGACACTGCATCAATGTTTGCAGAGAAAAAGAGATCCCCTATGTTTTTGGGAAATGTTCAACCTTCAAGCAAAACCACACAGTGGTCAATTACCACATTTCTTTTTGGAGAAGTCTGTGTGCATAAATTAAAGTGCATGCCTACAAAACAACACGGGTTCTATGAAGCAGAGACACACTGACTAAATGGCTTTCTTCTTTATTGTAAAAAGGTGAATAGTTCTATAGAAGAGACTACACCCAAAAATTAAGTCACGAGCTGTGAAGCACTCAAGATGTCTCAAAGGCATGCTAAATAAAAGGTTTCTCATTCTAGTTTGACAATTCCTTTACCATTAAGGCAGTATTGTGTTATGACAAGTATGCCAAACCATTCCTTTACATGGCAGCCCACTTCAAAACAACATCCTGGTGTTGCTGAAAAAAAAACAGGGCATATATGCAACCACATTCTTGTTTTTCCCCAAGAGCAGGTAGCAGCTCTTCTGGTTTCTTCACACAAAACCTTAAATGAATAAAAGGCCTGAATGTTTAATTTTAATTGATCAGCTTCACAAACACCAGCATACGACTAGGCCCGATTACCTCAAATCACCATAGTGAAATATTAAAGGCACAGCATCACTGAGGATTCTTTGACAAGGCACCACAACATCCCAAAAAGACCTTCTTCAAATGACTATCCAGAAATCCTCAATACATGTAGTTCTGCTATACCGTGTGTTTCGTTAATGTGAATTAGCCATAACGCGATTGATGAATAGTGGACGCTATTTGGATAATGTGTATTTTCTGCTGTACAGGTATAGCGATTTCCCTATAACACGATTTTCCATGGCGATTTTCTATAGTGCGATGTCACACAAAAATGCAACTATCGTGTTACAGGAGAACCAACTGTATTTTTATTTTAGTGTGCAAGGAGGTTGTGGACCATGATGTACATAATTTGGTGCAGAGTTCGAAATAGAGTTTGACCACTGATGAAATCTGTCTGACTACCTTTTCATGGTAGACTACTTCATTTACTTTCAAAGTCATTCAGAAATTGACCAGCAAGTTTACTAGCACTTTCACGAAATCTGTTCACGTGAAAAGAGACAAAATTCTGGTCAAAGTTCATTGAACAGAAAATGCAAATCATTATGAATTTCAGGAATGTGGTTAGCATTAATCACTCAATGGTGAGTCAACTTGGCAAACAAACACCTTTTTCTTCAGCAATATTAATTCCTCCCTATGAAACCTAACATTCTTGCATTGGTCCTGACGGTTGTAAGACAAACTGCTTGACATCATATTCCTTTCACAGCAATACTCAAAGCTTAAATGACAAGTTGATTTTTATCTTTCAAAAGAATCAAAGCTATAATTGCAAAAGATTAAAATTCTACATTTCCTTCTATTATGAAATAAAACAGCTCTAAGTAATTTGGCCTTTTAGATGAGATGTTAAACTATAATCCTGCCTGCCCTCAGGTAGGGTTAACAGATTCCATGGCACTATTTTAAATAGCAGCAGTTAAGTATCCTAGCAAACATATAACCTTGAACCCACATGATTAGGTTAGCTGGTTATTACCACATTGCTGTGTGCAAATTGGCTGCTGCATTTTACAAAAGTGATGACACTTCTAATGCATTTAATTTATTGTAAAGTATTTCAGAACATTCATACGTCTTAAAACATGCTAAGTAAGTCTAAGCCAGTCTTTCTTATGAGACTAGGCTTATGCTGTCTAGTCCTGTTAAAATTTTATAGGTTTCTGAGATCTCTGAGGCTAGGCTTACTGTGGAAAAATATGGAAGTTTTTTGGTCAACAAGTTTCATGTGCTTGGTGGGTAACACATTGACATGAACAGAGAATTGGTCGGCAGACAGAAAACAAAGAGCCAGAATAAATGGATGTTCTTCCAAGAGGCAAGCAGTGACTAGTAGGGTACAGCAGGAATCAGGGCTTGGACGCCAATTATTCACAGTACAACTATAGTAATGATTTTATTGAAGGAGCTAAATGTAATATCTCCAATTTTGTAGATAATACAAAGCTTGGTGTGGGCACGGGAAGAGTGAGCGAGCTGTGAGGATGATGCAGGCTTGCTTTAGTGTGATTTGGACAAGTTGAGCAAGTGGGCAAATGTATGGCAGATTAAATCTAAAGTGGATAAGTGGAAGGTAATCCAGTTTGGTAGCAAAAGCAGGAAGGCAGATTACCTGAATGGTAATAGATTGGGAAATGGGAGGTGCAACGAGACCTAGATGTCAGTGTACACCAGTTGCTGAAAGTAAGCATGCAGGTGCAGCAGGTAGTGAAGGCGGCAAATGGTATATTGTCTTTCATAGCGAGAGGATTCAATTATTGGAGCAGGGACGTCTTGCTGCAATTGTACAGGGCCCCGTTGAGACCACACAGAGTATTATGCGCAATTTTGGCCTCCTTATCAGAGGAAGGAGCTTCTGATCTTGGAGGAACTGCAAGATGGGTTTACTGGACCAGTCCCTGGGATAGAAAGACCAAAACGAAGAGAGACCGGATCTGTTATGACTATATTCACCAGCATTTAGAACAACAAACAGAGATCTCAGAAACCTATAAAATTCTAACAGGACTAGACAGCATAAATGCAAGGAGGACGCTTCCAATGACTGGGCAGCCTAGAACTAGGTGTTCAAAGATAGAGGTAGGTCATGTAGAACTGAGATGAGGAGAAATCTCTTCACCCAGAGACTGCTGAGCCTGTGGAATTCTGTTCAAGAAAGCAGTTGAGGTCAAAACATTGAATGTTTTCTGAAGGAATTAAATATAATCCTTAGGGCTAAAAAGGGACCAGAAGATAAAAAAGGAGAAAGCATACTGAATTAGATGATCAGCCACGATCATACTGAATGGTGGAACCGGCTCAAGAGGGCTGAATAGCCAACTCCTGCTCCGTTTTCTGTGTTTATATTCTCTTTAGAAAACCCACAGGGACACAATGATGAAATTCAATTTAAAATGTTTTCATCTGAATTAGTTATATTAAATCAAATGCTTATCCTTTCTTTTACATATCACATAATTATCATGGAGTTTTTGAGGAAGAAAAAATACCAATACCAATCTTGTCCACTAATAAATTCACATAATTAATACTTTCTTGGGCACAGCAGGTCAATAGCACTGGTCACTCCTCTAGGCAGTTTGACTATCTTTAGAAATATGATAACTAACTTAAAAGTGAGCATGAAAATTATTAGTTACTACAAATCTACCAGGTAAAAGTACATCCTTACTAGACCAAGTAGTTTGTATTTTTACTATTAACATTAGAACAGTACTAGCTATTGGAAAATGTAGTCTAATTTTCCTCCTAAAGCTTTCTTTTATAAAACATTTTGATTACAACAAAAGCTGCGCACCCACAATACAGAGCATTTGAATTATTGAGTCAGAGTTTGACACTGGATAAAAAAAAAAATTGATTACATCAACCTGAAATTCAGTTACTTATCATCACTAACAAAGCAGGCACACTGGAATCTTTTTGACCTCCAGTTTGCCATCCAACATCCAACAGTAAATTAATTTCAAGTAAATTCAGGCACAGAAACTATTTAGCAAGCTACTATACTCCTTTTAAATGGAATCTAATAATTGTGTATTGTGATCAGGTTTTTTTTAAAAAAGGTATAGCACAACACACACCTGGATGATCATTCATCCAACATCTTCAGAATTGTACATAATGAAATTGAGTGTAATATCAGTCCCAAATATGACAATCACAGGCAAACTTCAATGCGATTTCAAGAGTATTATAAACTGCACTTTAGATACTATATTATATAACAGAATTAGGGAACGTTACTGTCAATGCTTTAAATTAAAATTCAGAACAGAAAGCATGTGAAAACGTATTTAAGTCCTATTTGCAGATTCAGAGAAACGAATGTCAAAAAAACAAAAATCACTGAAACAAATCTGTCAAGATAAAAACCGAATGAAACCTCCGATAACAAAATATTCCGGAAAATTTCAGTTAAGAGCCACCCTTGCCTGCTATTTAATCAGTTTAAATTGATGACAATCCCGTGGCTCCCACCCACTTTAGGCCCATGCCGGAATTTTAACACCTCAAATCAGTCAGTAGGGCAACAGTGTTTTCTTTGATAGAGCTCAACTTCCACTGCTTACATCCAATTTCTCCACGATGTTTTAAGCAGTACAGAGCAACTTTAACTTACTAGCTATCTCTTCTGTATTTACTGCACAGAGCCGCGCTCTTTCACTTCCACCTCCCGATGCTTTCAGAAGCCGACAGCCACCCGGCCGCGCAAGCGTAAATTCAAGACACTTCCCTGTCGCGCACGCGCACTCTCGCAACAGCGTGCACACGCGACACCCCCCCGTCGTGCTGATGACACCCTCATCCCAGCTGCGCACGCGTACTGCGCATGCTCCTCTCTGGTCTTGCGGGGTCACGGGCTCCCTTGAGGATGCAATCTACCGCGTACACTGCGCACGCTCGATATTTTGGAACGTCCACAGAACCAACATCTGTTTTACGCGGGTTCCGGCAGCGTTGCAGTTAATGCCAGTTGTTTCAACTGTCTCAAAAACACAAGGAATGAATGGACTGGGGACTGAACACCGCCAAATGTGGGAGATATTGCACGGCGGGGATCGCTGCTTTTTGGGGACGGGGGTGGGGAGTCTGACAGAGGAGATGCCGGCTGAATCTGTCAAATGTTGCGACCCGTCTATATTTACCACTTCTTATCATGGTTTTCTGATGATTTCCAGCATTTTTATGTGCTTCTTTCAGATTTCCAAATTTAACAATTTCCCTTCTATTATGGGGCTGGAAGTGGTGGAATGGAACTTGCAAGTCTGAAATAGACATTTTCCACTCTTCAAGATAAAACGAAGAATTGCAGATGCTGGATATCAGAAACAAAAACAGAAACTGCTGGTGGAACACAGCAGTTCTGGCAACATTTGTGGGGAGAAAGCAGAGTTAACGTTTCGAGTCCGGTGACTCTTCATCGGAACTGATAGCAGCTAAGAAAATGTGGTATTCATGCTGACGATCAGATTTGCGGGATGCGGGGCAGAGTTGAGCGGACAGGTGGAGATGGAGCCCGGAGAGAGATATGAGAGGGGTGAGCAGATAAGGAGATTATTATTAGTAAGCCAGGACAGAATAGAAGCTGAGTAAGTGGTAATGAGAGGTCAGACAGCATCCGAGGAGCATGGAAGTCAACGTTTCAGGCCAAAAGCCTTTGTCAGGACCAAAACATTGACTTCCCTGCTCTTTGGATGCTGTCTGACCTGCTGTACTTTTCCAGCTGCACATTTATTGACTCTAGCTTCCAGCATCTGCAGTCCTTACCGTCTCTAAGTGGTAAAGAGAGCTGAGAGTAGGAGCGTAGCAGTGTTGAAATAAAACTATTTAATGTGATAATAGGTATGAGAATGAGTTTCCAGTGCTAGAAGCAACCACAACAAGGTTCTGCACGGTAGACTGGTTGGCAAGGTTAGATCACATGGAATCCATAGGGAGCGAGCCAATTGGATACAAAATTGGCTCAAAGGTGGCAGACAGTGGATGAAGATTGTTTTTTGTACTGGAGGCCTGTGACCAATGGTGTGCCACAAGGATCATTGCTGGGTCCACCGCTTTTCGTTGCTTATATAAATGATTTGGATGTGAATTTAGTTGGTATGGTTAGTAAGATTTCAGATGACACCAAAATTGGTCGTGTAGCGGACAGCAAAGGAGGTTACCTCAGAGCACAGCGGGACTTTGATCAGATTGTTAATGGGCCAAGGAGTGGCAAATGGAGTTTAATTAAATAAATGTGATATGTTGCATTTTCATATGGCAAACCAGGGCAGAACTTATACTGTCCTAGGGAGTGTTGCCAGACAAAGAAACTGAAGGGTCCAGGTGCATAGTTTCCTGAAAGTGGAGTTCCAAGTAGACAGCTTGGTGAAGAAGGCTTCCCTCCATTGGTCACTGCATTGAGTACAGGAGTTGAGATGTCATGTCGCAGCTTTACAGGACATTGGTTAGACCACTTTTAGAATACTGTGTTCAATTTGAAAGGGTTCAGAAAAGATTTACAAGGATGTTGCCGGGATTGGAGAAGTTGGGTAAAGGAAGAGGTTGAATTGGCTGGGGCTATTTTCCCTGGAGCATCAGTGGCTGAATGCTGACCTTATAGAGGTCTATAAAATTGAGGAGCATAGATAGGGTGAAAAGACAAAGTCTTTTTCCCAGTGTAGGGGAGTCCAAAACTATGGAGCATAAAGTGAAAGGGGAAAGATTTAAAAGGGTCCGGAGGGGCAATGTTTTCATGCAGAGGGTGGTCCGTGGGTGGAACAAGGTACCAGAGGAAGTGGGGGAGATTGGTACAATTTCAACATTTAAAAGGCATCTGGATGGTTACATGAGTAGGAAGGATTTAGAGGGCTATGGACCAAATGCTGGCAATGGGACTGGATCAGTTTAGGATATCTGGTCGGCATGGATGAGTTGGACTAAAGGGTTTGTTTCCATGCTGTGTAACATTATTACTCTATGTCATGACAGGACTGCGCACGGGGATGGATTAAAAAAAATGGAAAGATTGAATTAGGCTTTAAAGTTATTGAACTTGAAGTTGAGTCTGAGATGCTACAGGGTCCACAAGCAGAAAATGAGATGTTGTTCTTCGAGCTTGTGCTGAGGCTCACTGGAACTCTGCAGCAGACCTACTACAGAAATGTTGGCATTGAAACATGGTGGTGGCAAGCAACTGGAAGCTCAGGGTCATTTTTATAGATAGAATCTAGGTGTTCTGCAAAACGGTCACCTGGTCTGTATTTTATGTCCCCAGTGTAGAGCAGACCACATTGTGAACAGTGAATATGGTAGACTAGATTGAACGAAGTGCGGGTAAATCGCTGTTTCAGCTGAAATGTGTGTCGGGATGTCCAATAGCAAGGAGGGAGGAGGTAAATGGACAGGTGTTAGAGCTTCTGCGATTGCATGGGAAGGTGCCATAGGGGTTTGGGGAATGGAGGGAGGAGTGGACCAGGGTGCCCTGCGGAATGCTGACAGAGGGGAGGGGAATATGTATCTGGTAGTGGCACCCCACTGGAGGTGATGGAAACGGCAGCATATGATCCTTTGGATGCGGAGGCTGCTGGGGTGGTAAGTGAGGACCTTGGGACACTATTATTATGAAAGGAAAGAGTATGGATGAGGGCAGAAGTGTGAGGGATGGGTTAAACATGGGTAAGGACCCCCATCAACCACAGTAGCAGGAAATCCTCAATTGAGGAAAAAGGTGGACATTTTTGAGGTCCCCTGCAGAAGGTGGCATCATCAGAACAGATTCGATGGAGGCAGAGAAACTGGGAAAAGGGGATGGAGTCCTTACAGAAAGCAGGGTGTGAGGGTGTATAGTCCAGATAACTGTGGGAGTCAGTGGGTTTCTAATGGATATCGGTGGCTGGACTATCCCCAGAAATGTGGTCCTCAGCAAAGGACTTAGTTTTATCTCCTTACGCCTCACCGCGATGAATTTTATGCAGACATGACATTGAACTCTTCCATTGCCAAATATATAAAAGGTAAGGGATACAGGACATTGGACCATTGGAAAATGAGGTTGGAAAAGTAATAATGGGTAACAAAGAAATGGCAGAGGAACTAATGACAGATAGCATACCAGAACTTCAAGAGAATCAGGGCAGAGGTGAGTGTAGTGACATCAATAAGGAGATAATGTTGGGGAAGCTGAATTGTCTGAAGCTGGATAAATCACCTAGATCAGATGGACCACACCCCAGAGTTCTGAAGGACATAGCTGAGGAGATTGTGGAGGCATTGATGGTGATCTTTCAGGAATCATTGGAGTCAGGGAAGGTACCAGAAGACTGGAAAATGGCTAATGTAACAAGGGAGGGAAGCAGAAGACAGGAAACTTTAGGCTGGTTAGCCTGACATCGGTCATTGGTAAGATTTTAGAGTCCATTATTAAAGTTGACATTGCAGAGTACTTGGAAGTGCATAGTAAAATATGGCTAAGTCAGCACAGCTCTGTCAAGCCTGACAAATCTGTTAGAATTTTTTGAGGAGGTAACGAGCAAGTTAGACAAAGGAGAACCCCGGAAGTTTTTTTTAAATTATTCATTCATGGGATGAGTGCATTGCTAGTTAGGCCAAATTTATTTCCTAATTGCCCATAAGATTCAACCACATTGCTATACATCTGGCGTCACATGTAGGCCAGAACAGGTAAGGATGGCAGTTTCCTTCCCTAAAGGGCATTAGTGGCCAGATAGTGTTTTCTTGACAATTTACAGTGGATTCATGGTCATCATTAGACTCTTAATTCCAGATTTTTTGTTGAATTTAAATTCCACCATGGATCGAGTGGACATAAGAGATGATGATGTTTCCACCAATAGGAGAGACTAGGGCCTGAGGGGACAGCCTCAGAGTGAAGGGCCAACTTTTTAGCACTGAGAGGAGGAGAATTTTCTTTAACTAGAGAGTGGTTAATCTATGGAACTCATTGCCGCAGAAGGCTGTGGAGGCAAAGTCATTAGTGTTTTTAAGGCAGAGGTAGGTTCTTGATTAGTAAGGGGATCAAGGGTTTCAGGGCGAAGGCAGGAGAATGAGGTTGAGAAATGTATCAGCCATGATCAAATAATAGAGCAGACTCAATGTGCCGAATGGTCTAAACAAAAAACAAAAAGAACAAAGAAAATTACAGCACAGGAACAGGCCCTTCAGCCCTCCAAGCCTGCGCCGATCCAGATCCTCTATCTAAACCTGTCGCCTATTTTCCAAGGATCTGTATCCCTCTGCTCCCTGCCCATTCATGTATCTGTCTAGATACATCTTAAATGACGCTATCGTGCCCGCCTCTACCACCTCTGCTGGCAATGCGTTCCAGGCACCCACCACCCTCTGCGTAAAGAACTTTCCCCATATCTCTCTTAAACTTTTCCTCTCTCACCTTGAAATCGTGACCCCTGGTAATTGAGTCCCCCACTCTGGGAAAAAGCTTCTTGCTAATTCTGCTCCTGCACCTTATGGTCTAATATCAAAGGATCACAAACAGCCATTTCCATCACCTGCAGTGTGATGCCATAACTAGACAAACATTGCCCCCACCACCCCCAGTCCCCTTTGTCAGCATTCTGCAGGAACCACTTTGTAATGAATGGCATTTCTTCCAGTTTGTCCTGGTGTATTTTAGAATTATAGATTTACTTTCTAGTAACTCCATTGAGAATAATTGTAGGGGTACTTTATTTTAATGTTTTGTTCTGTCAATTCAGCACCAATGTATTTTACCTACAAAACTATACGATCTGCGTATATGTGTATTCTAGT